AGAGATGGGTTAAACATTGTACAAATGTGTTTGCCAGAAACAGAACACTTTTGGAAGCAGGCTGCCAAAACCTGAAGGAGATGGCTGCTAGAAATCTTTGGGAGCTGACTGCCAAACCTTAGGAGCAGGCTGCCGAAATGTGATTCTGTTTGTTTAGTTAAAGTATAGCGAAGAACTTTACTCTAACAACTTGACTGACTTTTAGAACTAGTCTAACACAAGTGTATGAAGGATTTAGACCAATGGAGATAGGTCACTTTGAAGAGAAGATAACAAGGAGATGACTCACAGTGAACTGGGAAAGTTCACTAGACAGTTTAAGTGAGCAAGCTGTTTTTCTTTTGCAGTTGTGAAGGTGAGTGAGAAATGAAATAAGTGTTAGGTGCAGAATGTAAGGGTGACACACGATGTATCCTGGTTCATGGGTGGTGTAATCCCCTAACATCCAGTCCCAACCTATTTCAGATGGATTTTCACTAAATGTATATCTCATTACATTTAGTACCCAATCTACCCTTGGCCCAGGCATAGATTGTGAGTTTTTTCACAAGGAACTTAAATACCATTCCAAGCTACTCATGTCCTCCCAAGGTTTTTCACTAATGGCATTGACTCGCCAAGAGCTAGTCATGTCCTTGTCCTTTCTCACCTTCTGGATTTGGTCACCAAGCCCTTCAGAATGTCTAACACTAGTCTAGATTACATGGGTGTAATATCTAAACTACCAACTAGTCTAAGCTCTATTGATTTGTATGAATCATAACTAGTCTAAGAGCATTAGACGAGTGAGGTGGCGGCCTAAGTGGAGAAGGGGAATCAGCTGGCTGCATTTGAGCGTGTAAAGTATGATTCCCTTCTAAGTTCTAACCACTTGGCTCCTTTGTTTTTCCACTAAATTACCACACTTGGTAATCCCGCACTCCTTCTGTTTTTTTTTTTTGAAGAAAGGTGGATTTTATTGATAAAAGTAAAAATAGTACAATGCGAAAAAGGAAAACAGAAAAACAAAAAAGCAGTACAAAAAGGGAAAAAATAGAGATTTGAACTACACCCAAGGGAAATCTTTGGACTGCGACCTAGTCTTCATGTTGTGGCGCCTTTTGTTTTTTTGAGATTTCCGGTAAATCTTGAGTTGTGTGTTTAGATTATCTGTTGGCAGACAATTCTCTGAGGTAACAAAACGGCTTTCCAACAAATTGCTCTGTTGAATTTAGAGTTTCTAATTTCTTCCTGATTTGATATAGGAGGACCACGGTCGCTTTCGGTTGCATGTCCCAGATAGACGTCTGAGAAAAAAGAGTCATCAGAATGATCAAAATTATTAGATGCGTCTGAATAAGCCTGGATCAGTGGCAATTGGGGTTGTATCATTGGAGAGTAGTCCGGCTGTTTCTCAGCACATGTTGCCTGAATTTGATAATTAAAAATTAGTTTAGATATGGATATAGGATCCTCTGTTTCATAGGTGCTCCTGTGTTGAAAAGTGATTGAATCATCCTGCATCTTTGGGAACCCTACAAAATTAGATAAAATAGTGATGAATTTAAGCAGACTAGATTTTTGGGGACCCATAGGAATGAGGATGGAGCTTCCCCCATCTTTAGCAATTTTCAAGTAATTGCAAGATCTGTTGCTGAGAAAATGAATCTTGATCGTTGCTTGATCTACTTGCTTTGTTCCACTTGACTAAGGCAGCATGGTTTCTTCTTGTCACGTAGTGACACGGATCAACTATTTTCAGCTCAAGTTGTTTACACATTTCAATGCAAGATAAAAGATATTTCATCTTTTATTTTCCTACGTAGAAACTAGTATAAAGTTGAGTGATATTTCAATGCTTCCTTACAACGATCGAACACTTGCTTTTGTAAAATAAATTTATAAGAAATTCATAATGTGATAAGAAATCTCTTATAAATTTACTTCTTAACAATTTTTCTTTTGTCTGCAAGTTGGTCTTTTGTATAAGTGTTTTGTGCTAAGAGAAGAGAGAATTAGATTTCGCTGAAAAACCCAGTTTTCAGCTGGCTGCCCAGAAAATCAGCTGACTACTGATTTATGGAGTTTTCCAGTTGGCTCCTTCCTTACCATTAAACCAGTTAACTCTTTTCGTACCTTTTCTTCTTTTTGATCCTTTTCTTTCTTTTGTTTATGGTACAGTTAACTTCTCTTTTTAGTACTCTTTGCTTTTCATGAGTACTTTATCCACTAAATATGGAGCACACTACAATTATACAAAGTAGAACATAGTAGTAGACTAGTCTAATACAGGAATAATAAAAAAGGGTGACATCATCAAAACTATTACATTGTATATCAAAATCTAGGGGACCTAGCAAGTTAATATAAAGGGAAAGTTCCCGAAATGGGACTAAAAAAGTTTGAAAATTCCAAAATAGGACTGTCATGTTTTTATTCCCAAAATAGGACTAATTACTGCCAAATTTGGAAAATATAGCCATGTTTGAAGTCTGGTACTGCCAAAACATGACAGTAATTAGTCCTATTTTGGGAATAAAAACATGGAAGTCTTATTTTGAAATTTCCAAACTTTTTTAGTCGCATTTTGGGTAATATCTCTACTTTTTATTTGTCTTATGTGCCATGTACTGGAAGTGATTTTTGATAGCATACATCTTAAGTGATTTCCTGAACTCATCCCTGTAGATGTAAATCAGTCCTTCTTCAGGATCTACATCACTTTTAATGCAATTTGTTGATGCTAGGTCAACACGTTTTTGTTGCAGTAGTTCTTCACTGGTTTTATTTTCCCAAGCTAATATAAAACCATTAATGTCCAACTCTTCACTAACTGTTGAACTATCTTCAGACATTGTCACTACTTGCATGCTACTTGTTTCTTCTTGTTAGGACTTTTTCTGGTGTCCAATCTAGTTAGATGTCTTTGTATTTGTGTAGTTGTTATTTAAATGTGTAAATGGGCCACAAGAGCCATATCAGCCCATTAGGCCTCTTGTAAGCCATAAGTTAGCCTCCTTCTCCTATAAAAGGAAGCTAACTTATGAGGAAAACCTAACTAAGGCATTAGACTATAGAGGCAGAATAGAGAGAATAGTTTCAGGCTGCTCTCTCTCTCTAGAGGGAGAGCAGCGGCCATTACACGATGTACCAAATTTCCGTTCAATCTATTTGCCTCTTCTTTCATTGTTCTATGATTGTTTGGTTGTTAGATATAGGGATCAACACTTCTTGTTGATATCTCCCAATAAATTTGTTGCAAGTTGTTTCTTCATGTACATCAGCAATGCTGATACATAGAGGGAATTTGGTGACATCCATCTCTTGTTTCTTAAGGTGTAGGTAAAACAACAGTGCTGAGTTATCTTGTATCATCAATGGTGGATAATTCTCTCTGACTTTGTATTGAATTATCAGTGCAGTTGATGGTCTTTCTATTCCAATCCTGACTCCTATCTTTGTAACCAACTTAGGATAAGAACTATTTGTAGCTAAAGTAATTCCAAAGACATTGAAATTCACATACTCCATTGTTTCATTCCACTGACCATCGTGATGAACAATAATAGGAACTGTTTCCATGTTCCCTGTTATTAATGAGGAAAAATTTCCGGGATATGACTAAAACAAAGTGAGTTTCTCGAAATGTGACTAGTTATGTTTTTTTCTCGAAATATGACCAAAAATCGAAAAAAAAAAAGAATTTTTCGTTAAATTAAATTGTGGAAGGACAAAAATACCTTTTTTTTAAAATATGCATTTTACACTAATTTCGTCCGGGTAAAAATATTGCACTTCATGAAGGCGTTATTGCACTACATTTATTGCACTTTATGGCGGTATTCACTACACGACATAACATTACACTAACATTACATAATATTATATCAATATTATGTGTGTAAATTTAAAAACAAAATGTTTTTTAATACTCAGACAATTAGGGAGGTTTTGATATTAAATCATGCCCTTTTAAACGAATTATATATGTACACTCTCAAATAGAGGGAGTTTTATGTATAATTCGTGTGTGGTCAGGGGTGTGCACCGGTCCAAAACTGGACCGGACCGGAACCGGTTAGGACCGGAACCGGAATCATCATTTTCTTTGGACCGGAGACCGGACCTGAATCTAACCGGTCCGGACCGGTCCGGACCTGAATTTTCCGGTCCGGTCCGGTTTTGACCCTAATTGACCTGGTTTTAAAAACTAAATATTATCTTAGAGTGTTCTTAGTTGGCCCCAAATTTTTTTAGGAATAAGGCTTGGATGTTGTTGTTCGAAATTATAATTTTATGTGCGGATATGTTAAATAGACTAAATAATTGTTTGTCTAGCTCATTTATTATTTTTGGAATATAGTTATCAAAACTATTCAATCGTAACAATTAGTTTCCCACAATAATTAAAACTACAATCTTTTGTGTATATTAAAATGCAAAATCTATTATAAAGTAATAAAAACTAAATTAAGTCCAAAAATATACTACGTATAAACTACATGTGCACCTGAAAATAAAGAAACAAATAAAAAGCAGAAAAATCACATAAATAAATAAATAAATAAATAAATAACAACTTAGGAAATAATTAGACACCAAATATACACTCCATATATATTCGTTTATATAACAAAAGACAAAAATAAGTCATAAACATAATGACTAATGATACAAAACCAAGTATATATTTTACGGGAAAATAGGTTACCGATCCATTCCGGTCCGGACCTGTTTTTTCCGGGTTTGACCCGGACCGGAACCCGAAATCTTACAAAACTAAGGACTGAAACCCGGACCGGTCCATTCCGGTCCGGTTCAGGTCTAAAATACGGTCCGACCCAGTTAATGCACATCCTTATGTGTGGATAATAAAAAGTTTTTTTTGCAAATGTGGATAATAAAAAGTTAGAAACGATTCCTTCAAAAAAAAAAGTTAGAAAGGATAACACGAAAGAGACATATTTGAACTGAATGGTCAAAAATACCCCCTGTATATAAGACTAAAAAGAAAACAATCCCCGGGCCTTCTTTGATCGCTGCCTGCTACCGTTCCATCTCTTTCACCGCTCGTCTCCGTGCCGCCATTTCAGCTCCGCCGTCGGCTTCTCACGGCGTCTGATCTTCTCCGCACTGCCATCTCCACGCAATCGATACCCCACCGCGACCGCTCGGCGCCGTGCCACTGGGGTAGGTTTGGGTGTCTCTGGGATTTAACCTGTCATTGGAAGCAGGTCACTGTCATAGGAGGTATAATTGTAATGTTAATCACTTTAGTATTATTTTTGTCAAAAGTGAAAAAATATTCTTAGGATTTTCAAGTATGTTTTTAGATTACCAAGTATTGATATATGCATTTTAAATTGGTAACAGTGGAAGCGGATTGTTCTGAGTTGAACCATGAGAGTTCAGATCCATGAAGCGAATTCCTCCTTGAAACTGATCTTCTTTGGCGGGAAAACTCTCAACTCACCACTTCACCTCCTTAACAAAAACATAAACTTTCCAACCATGGGTACATGTTGTTCATTTTGTCGAATTGTAGAAGCTAACTTCCCTTGCTCAACTTTTTTACTCGAAGATTACTACATTAGGCTTTGGAACAATATTTAAGGAGGAAATCTTAGTCTCGCAAGGGTAATGAATAGTGTAGAAGTAGAATAAAAGGTGGAAAAGTATTAAAGATAAAATAAAAGGCAAGAATAATTAAGTATTTTTAAAGGAAAAATTAAAACAATTACCAAAAAGGGGAAGTTTCTCAAACTTTTAAATAAATCCTAAATTGGAAAGTGTAGCAAAATACGAGGGAGTATTATGACTTCAATGCTAATGGTTGGTTTCTGCTCTGTAGGTCACCGTAATCTAAAGATAAAGTGCAGTGTTCGCTTTCGCCCTTGTATTGATATACACAAGGTTTGATTCCTGTGTATTCTTAGATTCTTCGATTCAAGGGTGTTCCTGAATTCAGATTTCTGACTTCGATAAGAAACATTGTAGGAGGAATTTAAGTTCCTTTCCCCCTAGACCAAAAAACTAAATTTACCCATGTTTGATTGATTGGGAGGATTTAATTCCCTTTAAATTTGAACCATGTAAAATGCTTAATTAAAATGCTTTGACCCTTCCAAGTATTTACAAATTTAAACAGTTTGGGAATATTTATATATGATGTCTGGAGACATTTTACCCCTTGCAAGTTGCATTATTGACTCACCTGTCTCTCTTTCTCACCCACATTGTCACATATATATCATAACAAAACCTGGTTTTTTCCTGCAATTTTTAGTATTATACTTATATTGTCCTTTTTATCTTACATTATCTTACATTATCTTTTTATCTCCCTTATCTTTCTTTTCTTTTTGGCTCCAATATCATACAAGTATATAGATTCATGTTAGCTGACCCCAAAATCTTTTGGAACTAAGACTTGGATGTTGTTGTTCGTGTTATTGTTGTTGGCTTGTTGCCATACATGAGAACATTAAAAATTTTGAAATGAGAAGTTTATAAGTATTTTGATGTCCTGAAGAATCCTATATTAGGACTCGGGTCGATAAAATTTGATGATCACATGTATAAAGTAGTAATGTACCCTTTCAAGTTTTATGATTTTTATCCAATAAAAATACCTAATTTATATTTTATTATAGATAATTATATAATTTATTTTGAAGGGTCTTTGAGTCAGTATAGAAGTTATTCAATAAGAAAGTGCTTAAAATAGGAGTAAAAGATGAACAAAGTTAAAAACAAATAGGACTATTTATGTTTTATTCCCATAATAAGATTTATTTAGTCCAATTAAAAGAAGAAAACAATAGAAACTTACCAAAGTAGGACTGAATGAGTCTTATTTTCTTAAGAAAATAATGGTTCTATTTGAGAAATTATGCTATGTTTTACTCATATTAACGGAATTTTCTCTTATCCAAGCTGAATTTCATAGAATCATAGCTAACCAAACATGATATGCCTAATGCTTTTGTTCTACTAACCAAAAACTGCCATTTGAATGCTTGCTTGATTCCTTTTTAATTACTGTTCCATAGATTTAAACTTTTTTTTACTCAATGGCCAAAACTGTTTCAGGGAAAAGTAAAGCAGATTGTTGGATCCACTCTTCAAGACACGAAAGACGAAAATGCAAGTCTTGTAACCAATTTCATATCTGATAAGTTGGCTGCAGAATATGCTAAGATTTATAAAGATGATGGGCTCCCAGGCGGTCATGTAATCATGCTTGGAGCTGACCCGCTGAGCCAATCAGCAGCAATTGAAGCCATATGTGCTTATCCTGGTATGCCACTGGCTATTTCTCTCTCTCTGATGATGATGTGTTCCCATGCAATGAATTACATGATGTCCTCGTAATTATTTCAATATTTCTATTATTTTCGTTCTTTGCTCCTTTACGCTTGGCTAGATAGTGTTGTACTTGGGTTTGGATTATTTCTTGCTTATTGATACTTGATTGGAGATATATGCATAGGTGGCTTGCAAGTTGGAGGCGGTATCGATTCAAACAATGCAGCCAGTTACATAGAAGCCGGAGCAAGCCATGTCATCGTTACCTCTGTAAGTTTTCTTTCAGTTGTCCTTTTTTCTTTTGAATAACATAAAGTTCTAGTTCAACATTAAACTTCTCCTAAAATCCTGAGGATTGTGAAATTGTAATTTGTCCATGCCTCTAGCGGAAGTTAGATCAGACTATGAACTTTGGTGCATATTTTAGAGTTCGTGGTGGAATATTGTATTATTAAGGACTTTAAGATTAATATAATAAATTGCTTAATGGTAAGACCACAATTGGTAAAAATTAATTTGAAGTTGGATATTTCTGGATGGTTGACATAGGGTCTGTATTTGGGTTGGAAAACAACATCCTTATTAAAGCCTTACTTCAGGAACACTTGCATTGCAGTATGTATTCAAGAATGGGAAAATGGACACTGACAGACTAAAGAAGCTTTCTCAAGTTGTTGGAAAGCAGAGACTTGTTTTAGATCTCAGTTGCCGTAAGAAGGTATAATGATTTTCTTTTGTAACCTTTTTTTGTAAAACTTTTCATATGGGGTAAGAAGTGTTCTTGCTGACTGGTTCTTTCAGAGCCCTTGGAGGCTTTTCCTGAACTTTGACTTTCTTTCTTGTTTTTTAAATAAATTCACTTCATTGTTTTAGTGCCTCTTTACTCCGTATCAGCTTCAAACTGATGAATGAAACAATGATACACAGGAGGGTAAGTATGTAATTGTCACAGATAGATGGCAGAAGTTTAGTGATGTACATCTAAATCAGGAAGTTCTGAATTTTCTTGCCCAGTATGCGGATGAATTTTTAGTCCATGGAGTTGACGTTGAAGGAAAGAAGTAAGTCTTTAGAAGATTTCATTGATAAGTAGTTAGCAACAAGAGTTACAAGACTCAACACTACTATTTTTGTCAGATGACTCAGATTACATTGATGCATATAGTAATTTAGTTGCATCCACTACTTCCTTAACTTATTGATGGAGGTAAAACTCTAGAGGACCAACACTACTCAAATATTTGCATGGATGAAAACCAATTTTCACAATGTTCTATCATACATCGAATTAAGGAACAACTTAATATTCCAGTGAAGTATTTTCCATCAAACATTTTTCATAAAGAAACGTTTAAACACAGGAAACATTTTTCAGTGTGTTTTACTGCAACCAAACAGAGCATTGACTCTTGCATGTCCTTTTGATACTCCGTTGTGCTGCATGAGTTTTTAGGCTGGGAATAGATGAAGAGCTAGTGGCACTGCTTGGCAAGTATTCCCCTGTGAGTGCCTCACCCACACACAACTCCCCCCAAATATATTGTTGTGTGTATGTATATATGTATCATTGTACTGTATCCAAACATTTTCCATTCTATGAATTGCTATTTAGATTCCAATCACATATGCTGGCGGCGTAACTGAAATAGCGGATTTGGAGCGGATAAAGATAGCAGGGATGGATCGTGTGGATGTTACAGTGGGAAGTGCTTTAGACATATTTGGTGGAAACATGGCATACCAAGATGTTGTGACTTGGCACAGACAGCAGGAACATTTGGCAGCTTAACGGCTGGGGAGGGGGGTTGGCCCACCTCAGGTCTAATCTACACCTTATATACCTATTTTTCAAATGATGTGAACAGTTGTTAAAAAATGAGGCTATTAAATTAGATCTTGAATACCGAGCATTAGACTTGCTATAGGCTCGTATTTTCTCTGTCACGGCCTATGTTATCTTATTTTTTCAATACATGAGGCGCACCATGGTTCATCCAAATTTTGTGTTGGAAGAATTAAGATGTATTCGTTTGAATTTTGAGCTCTATCTATTGCACAATTGCACTATCAGTTTGAAGTGAGTAGGGTAACTTGAATTTGACTGTTTTCTATGATGCTTGATGTGGTTGTATACTTGTATAAATGTATAAAATGGATGAACTATCAAATCCTGTTACAACGAATGGATAAGTAAAAGCATGTATGAGTAGCATTGGATAACCAAAGCATCAATTAACTTATCGAAGATGGTTTCCATAAGCAAAATCTTAGTTACATGACCATGTCCATTCTTACTTACATCCTTAACTCTCTTATATTCAAATATCTTATGCTTGGTATGGTTGGCCGGAGTGATGCTCTTATATTCAGAAGTGTGAAGTATTTAATTAGTTAAGGTGTTGATGTGTGATCGGGAGGTCACGAGTTCAAGTCTTGGGAGCGGCCTCTTGTAAAAAAAATTGACAGAATAAGGCTTGACTATGTACGCCCTTGTGGTGAGACCCTTCTCCGGATTCTCTCCCTGGATGCTTTCGTGCAATGGGATGCCCTTTATTACAATTATTACATATGGAGTATGTTTGTTGTTTATTCTCTTTAACACAATATGGATATTTTTTTGGAGTACTAGTTTTGTTCTCATATTAGCTAGGCTTTCCATCATTTGCAATGGAGCCAAAGATTCATTATTTTTTGGCTTGAGAATATGATGGAATAAAGCAAAATGGCTCACTAAACTGTCTGCGCTTCTTTGTTATGAAGCAGCAGTCAGTCCATGCAATTTTGGATTCGCTTTTCACTATGGGTCATCCGGAAACAGTCTCTTTGTGCTTTAGTATAGGGGTAAGGCTGCATACATCCGACCCCTCCTTACCCCACCGTAGGTGAGAGCCTTTGCGGCACGGGTGTAAATGAAAATGATTAGCTACGGTTTCCTTTCCTTTTTTATTGGCTCTAAAATCCCTGCTGCCCAAGTAGTGCCCAACCTGTAATGTGCTGCTACGTTACAGGTATAAGGTTTATCTACTGCGACTCTATATATATTAGCCAGACACTATATATTAGTCATGCGCTTAAATATCATCATTCTTTCTTTCCCTCTTCCATCTGACTGGTTTATCAAATATTTGGATGATATTATTGCCTTCATTTGCAATGGAGCCAAAGATGCACTATTTTTTGGCTTGTCAATGAAATAAAGTAAAATGACTCACGAAACTGTCTCCACTTCTTTTTTATAAAGCAGCGATCAGTTCATCCGACTTTCGACGCTATTTTCACTATAGGTCATCTGGAAACCGTTTATTTGTGCTTTAGTATTTGGAGGGGGGGGGGGGGGGGGGTAAGGCTGTATACACCTGATCCCTCTTTACTCCACCGCAGGTGCGAGCCTTTGCGACATTGGTGTAATGATGGTGATTAATGTCTTTTTGAATGGATCGCTGGATAAAGAAGTCTATGTATTAAATGTGTGGTTACTATGATCATTCAGTACTGTCGCAGTATGTCTTTCATATAAAGGCTCTATTTAGGCTGAAGTACGCTCATTTGGGTCGGTATTTAGGGTCTGTTTGCAACAGATTCTGCTTTTAAAAAAGTGCTTTTTTTTAATGAAATGGAGAGAAGTGATTAAATAAAAGTTGATAGTGTTTGAGAAAAAAGTAATTTTAAAAAGTAAAAGTTGATAGTGTTTGGTAAAATAAGTGCTTTTTGTGTAATAGAAAAAGTAAAAGCACTTTTGACACGAAAGCCGAGAAAAATAGAAGTTGTAGTGTTTGGAAAATAAGTGCTTTTTTAAAGCCAAAAGCTGAGAAGTGCTTTTTTAAAGCGTTTGCAAACCAACCTTTAGTGTTGTCTCCATGGATTTATTATGTGTTTTCTTAGTATATGTAGATGACATTGTCTTTGCTAAGAAATAATTCAACACATCTATGAGATTTTGTTGCTCAACTGGTTGATAAAGTTTCTACAAAGAATTAGGGCCTTGTTTAGTCCATCCTTGAGGATTTTGATTAATTCTTACTGCTGCTAATACATTTTTGTCAACACGATAGTATTTAATGAATGTTTGCCTAAAAAACTAAGATGAAAATTTACAGAGCAAACCGAGTGAGCACCCCAATTCAATGATGTCGGCAGAGCTCTTGGCGCCTTGGCAGGGTCTGTGGCGACATTATCTCACAACACCGCCTCTTGTCATCTGTTGACTAGTCCTCGGTATAACTCGTCTTATTGCTCTTATATACGGACTACAGACTATATGTTATTGAGATTTAATACTACTATGAAACAATTGAACTGATAATATGAATATCCAAAATCTACATGCTAGTTTGTATCCATATTTCTGGTAGCTAGTTTTGTATGGACGACTTGTATTGTACTTATTCAGCCTTAAACATATTGCATGTGCACACCCATCTAGTAGGGTTGCCACTTATTCTTCTTATACTTAGTTGGTAAAGAAAGACATAACAAATGGAAAGCTACATGATTTTATTCTTAAAGTTAGGTTTTACATTGGATAATATGAACCATAGTCAATATGTTGACTATGTTATTTATTTTTTACATATGCTTAGATTTTATATAGTACTCCGAGAAAGATGAAATAAAAATTTAAAATGGCAGAGAACATTTTTCTAAAAATGATTGAGTTAAATTTGTTCATACTTCATACATCCATTCCACATTTTTATTCTCCATGACATTTACTACTAGCAAAATTAATTCCTGAGTACCCAACAGGCCATTAATGGAAATGTTGTGAAGGAAATTAAGAAATTAAATTGACTTGCATTGATAAACAAAAAACATGATATATATAATTGATTAAACCTTTTGCTCTCTTGGTCTCTTCCATTTCCAATACCCATCTATACATCTCAATACTTTGGATCAAACATCCAAGCTGATTCAAATGAAAAATGGGAAAATAATTGTGACAGAGAAACTGGAAAGTCTCTAGGACTGTCACAACAAAAATTAAAGCAAAAAAAGAATAGCAAACTTTGCTCAATGGATCTGGAGTCTGGACCAGAAAAGATATATATGTACATTCTTTTCAGAGAAAGAAAAAAAGCTCTGATCTTTCATCTTTAGCTTGGCATTTGAGATCAATTCAAGATCGAGCTAAGCTTCAATAACACTTCTTGGGGACGATCTTACCCTGAAAAAATGCTCCTCTCCGGTGCACTTATCTACCTTCACAATCCAGTTCCCTCTTTTCTGCACCCCATTACTAACAATCTTCTTCACAGGAATTCTTGTCATCAACAACCCTTCACCAATAGGCAAAAGATTAATGCGTAAACCAGTACCGCTCCTCCACGACGGCTTCCCGAAGGCGTTATACCCTAAAACCACCGTGTTCATCACCCTCCCACTCCCTTCCACGCTTCTGAATATCTCCTCATGGTGATCAAGGTTGCAGTCAACGGCAATGAAGTCGGCTTCTCTATACTTGTTCAGTATCAGTTCCTGAGCATCCCCGACGACGAACTCAACATGCATTCCGTTTGAGGACGAGACTAGAGAGAGATTAGACCGGGAATAATTTTCCGGGAGGATGCAGATGACGCGGCCTCCAGTTTGCTGCGACGCCGCGGCCAGGGCGAGGGTGATGGAGTCAACAGGGCCAGCGCAGGCCACAACGGTGAACCGGGCGTTGTTCCCGGCAGCTAAAGCGGAGACGAACTCTGCCCCGTTCAGCTCCTTCACGTCCTCCCTCTTGGCCATATTCATTGTTCTGATATATGCCTTTGTGGCATTCTCAGCAGACCAGAAGCTCATTTTTGGGGTTGCCATAATAATACAGTGCTGTTTTCTGTTCTTTCTTTTGTGTTTTTTTTCTTCTCTCAGGCTTTCTTTGGAAAGATGATTGCTTTGAGAGTGAGTGTCTGAATGAGGTCTGGAAATGGGGTTTTATAGGGTACAAAGATTAGGGTATGAATTCAGACAGAATCCAACTGCATTAGGTAAGACCTAGTTGCAGATGGGAATAATTTCCTCTCAAAGAAATGAAAAGGAACATTATGAACGTGATATGTTTTTACCATGTTGGAGGTACATATATACTATCCAAGTGTCTTGTTATACAACTTGCAGATATTTGAGTGAGTATAAATATGAAAATGTTTCAGTTAACTTCAGTTTTAAAATGATGAGTCAAGCTTTTGCCTTTAGATGCTTTTTCCTTCCTGTTTAGATCTGGAATGGACCACTTGTCTGTGCAGAAAAACATGTTCTCAGTACCTATGAGCTGTAATGCTGTGTTTGGGAGGGACATCTGACACTTTTATTTCCTAGCAATGCATTAAATTATGGGGTTTTGGTTGTTCAAACTAACATAATGTGATTAGGAGAAAAACTGGCAGAGCCCACGTTTTTTAATTACTAATCATCTACAGAAGACTCTCAAACTTCAGTCATTAGAGGAAAAGTTAAAGAAACATGCATGTGTGGTTACTGTTGGGAAGTTTGACCATTTCCCGATTAATTATGTCAGCGTGGAATGCCTTGGTCTTATAATTATGTTCACTTTTTTAATTTCAGATGATAACCCTCTTTTACTAATATTTAAATTACCAGTTACAGTTGGTATTAAGAGACTTAGAGACTATAATAAAAGTTAGGGAAAACTGTCAAATAGGTCCTCGAACTTTTATAAAAAAGTCAATTAAGTCCTTCTATAGAAGGTTCTGTCCGGCCATCGCGATTTGGGGCAGTTTCCGGTGGAATTTTTTGATGAAATTTTTTTAGCATCTTATTCACCAAGTCTAGTTTACTCATACCAAATTTCAGCTAAAAATTCAATCGGGAACAGATTCAAATTAATTCTTGAAGATAATTGCGCATTTTTGCGTTCTCGAATTAATTTGAATGCGCTCCCGATTAAAGGTTTAGCTGAAATTTGGTATGAGTAAACTAGACTTGATGAATAAGATGCTCAAAAAATTTCATCAAAAAATTCCACCGGGAACCGCCCCAAATCGCCACGACCGGACAAAGTCTCCTATAGAAGGACTTAATTGACTTTTTTATGAAAGTTCGAGGATCTATTTGACAGTTTTCCCTAAAAGTTATATTTATGTGCAAAAAGAGAACTCAAA